TATAATTGCTCTTTTAGTAGCACATGCTCTTGGGTAATGACAAGTGTGTATGCATGTCTTGTGAAAATGTACCATAATTTAATAATCCAGCATGCACCAGCAATTGTTGGTTTCTGCGCACTTCTTGTAGGAGCCAATTCAGTAAGAGGGTTTAATTTCAAGAGACATGGAACAAAAAAAATTCAAATGGAGAACAAAAATAACTCACAATTAATGAATCCCTGAGACTTGGTGCATTTTTACTGTTATAAAGACAGGTAACTTGATACGCGTATGACACCACACTAACTAATTCATACATCTCCGCCTGTTTTGCTTTTAATAGTTGCTCGGCAACCTCCTCAGGTGTTTTTTCTTGTCCGTTGATAGTCTTCTGTGAATCTGTTTTACTACCTTCACTACTTTCAGAATCGGATGCATCACCAAGACTTGACTGTTTCTCAACTTTGGGTCTAGGTCTATTTGGTCGTGAAGCTGGCATCCTCCCGACCCGGACAGCTATAACAAAAAGTGTGTTTCCATTAATTATCCCCCAAATTTGTGCAAGAATCCAACAAAATGGCAGAAAATGTACACGTCTTTGATGATTTCAGAGACTCAATTTTTAGACGCAACCTCAATGAAATTTTGGTTGCCCCACAATTTCATAATTTGTCCAGAATTACAGCTTTTATATTATAGAGTATTTAATAGCAGTACGGCGACTGTATTGACCTACACATAGTGGTTGTTGATGTGATCCCATACTACCCGAGTGTATACTTTGTGGTATTCTCTAATCTTATTATTATACATCTTTTTTTTACTTATAGTATTAAGTTGATGAGATAGCAGCCCCAAAAAATAACGAAAATTTGTTCACGCTGCTAGAAAGTTTACAGTGACGGGATTGGATTTTCTTCATGCACTATACCGCTTTTTGTTCAATGGAAACAAGTGAAAGTGTTTGAATGGAACATCAATAACTGAACACATCAATATTGGTCACAAAGAAAGGGAAAATTTGATAGTTTGAATAAGTGTAGATACGTTTTGTAACAAATGCAGATAGTACTTCTTACAGTAGGGTAAATTGTATCGTTTTAGGTGCTACATGTATAACAACTGAACTTTTCATAAAACGAACAACCTGGAGAGGAAAGATCAACATCAGACAGAGTTTACAAATATGACCAGAAAATGATAGGCGTATTACCTTCTCTGGACATGCCAACTTCTAAACATTTCTTGTAGCGACAAAACTGACATCGGTTACGATTAACTCTGCCGATCATACACTGACCATTTCCATGACGACATGTATATTCTTTACCACTTTTACTGCTACGACGGAAAAAACCCTGAAAAACAAAATTAATTATTGAAAATTTGATTTCTGCGGAGAATTCAAGAGAAAAAGTGGACAAATAAGACATTACAAAATAGATAATAAACCCAACAATATATAGTAATTATTATCAACACGGGAAACCACATTAATTTCAAGTTTCATACATTTCTCGAGTCAAGGAAAATCGCTAAATACAAACAGTAGTGTAAACTGTATTATTGTTATTGTGGTTGCTACACCACCACCAGCAGTAGGTCCAGACAGAGTTTACAGAATCCACATCCGAGCGAGGAATACAAACAGTAGTGTACAACTGTAACTGGACTGTGATTGTTACACCATCAGTAGGTTTACAATTCACATCCTAGCTTGGAATTAATGAACCACAGTTATTGTCAAGCATACATGCAAATTTAAACAATTTTTGTTCTTTGTTTCAGTTGCATCGTTGCCACTTCTAACAATGCGGCGCTTAACCCATATCTATGAGCAATATCAGTTAACATTTTTATATTTATTATAGGCATAATGTCTAATTGTCACCATATTTAACTGTTTTTGAACTTTTGCATTCTTTGAAGAGAATAATTGAGAAGTTCTCATAGATAATAAATTTATATCCCCTGAATTACCAGGATGTGCGACTGCACAAGGACAATTGCCACTCATGTGATATTTATTATAAGTTGATTTACCACAGACCACATGCATAGGAGAATATAAAAGAAGGTATAATGTTGTTTATTTACACACAATTACCCAAAAGTGAAGAATGGCTGACAGGTCTGCTTTTCTACGTAGTAGTACCATTTTAAGGACAGTGATGCAAACTATAGTCAACTGCAATTATTACAAAACAAAAAAGCACTGAATCATCTGAATATATACTTTTGATGAGATTAAAATATCTTGGTGATAATGAACAAAAAACAAAAACTATGTTTATAGTTATATATTTTAGTATTTATTTTCTTTCATCATGTGTAACCATTATAAACCAACTTGTGGTTTGCGTTTTCAAAAGATACATTGTATTAATGAAATATTCATTAAAAAATTTTTCTTTTCTTTCCCTAAAAACAATTTTCCCTCCCCGTCTATGGATTCATGTATTCAGCCAATATTTAACCTATATTAGATGTGTAATTGGATTTTTCTCAATAGAAGGGTTCAGGTTAACATAAATATAGAAAGCATGGAACAACTACACTACTGGTAGTCTAGTTCTCAATACATGGACAAGCTCAAGGTAACATTGAAATGTCAACCTTGATTTGATTAAACTTTAGGTGAACTTTGCTCGAAAGCTGCATGTATAAAAAGGTGCCACATAGTACAGGGTAAGGGTGAAGGTCTTGCCATATCATTAATTCTTAAATTTCAAACGCTGATATTGGGGATAGAAATGAATGGATGAGCTTTTGTTCTTCTGCATTTTTATACCGCTGGCAGCATCACATTTTATTGTGTGTTTTGTGTCTCAACTGTACAGGAGAAATTATTTTTTATTTAGTCAATTTTGTAATTTACCACAAAATTAACTTTTCATAATTTTTATGTTTATCAATGCTACAAGGGAATTACTTAGTCCATTTGGTTCGAAATTAAAAAAAAAAAATTAATAAAAATGATATACCTGGACGGAGGGAAATTAATTACACCCAACAGTATTGTTTTGATAGCGCAAATTATACAACTCAAAAACTCAACACCAAATATATCACATAAATGGATCAAATTATGAAGCAAGACTTCATTTTCAAGGACATCTAAGATGTTAGGATTTTCGCTAGGCCTGTTTTTAGTTCAAGGGCAGGTCTTGTAAACTGACTTAAAAACCAAGCTGGCCTTCACCTTTTTGCTATAAATACTTTTTCCAATAAACTAATGTCCTTCAAAATCAACTAAACAATGTGTTGCTGGCTTCACTCACAATATGTAGCTTGCTTTGTTCAATGTTGGAATAATAATTCAAAGTACAATTCATCATTGCCAGTAATGCATTGTGAAAGAAAGGTGAAGTTAATTAGTGGGAGAAATGAAAATATAACCATTACATTGATTGCTTTTATGATATAATTTGAGAAATTTGAAAAAGCATGAGCACTCATCCAACAGACTGCTGTCTCTACCGAGCCCGTACCCACCCCGACTATCGCTGTACTGCCGACTCCACCGAGCGCCGGACTGCCGACTCCACCGAGCGCCGGACTGCCGACTCCACCGAGCGCCGGACTGCCGACTCCACCGAGCACTGTATTGCCTACTGAACCGAGCACCTTAATGCCTCTATCAAGTAGTAAATATGCAACAATTGTGATATTTTCGTAATTTTATTGTATATATTTTTTTCACACAAATATGCGAGACTGAATTTTGTAGCTTCACTAGTATCCTAAAGACATTCACAGCGACTTTCTTGTAAGTTTGACCCTACAAACATCATCAAATCATATTGTAAAAATGCCTAAAGTGTTAAGAAATTAAACTGTGTACAGGTTTTTCGTTAGAAAAGTTAGAAATCCACACTATATAAATCCAAATTCTTCAAAGGTCCCGTATGGTAAAACAGCATACTCAAAGTTGCCTGGGAAGAACACTGCACCCTGTTATACAAACAAAACCATTTCATTCTAATTTTAAGTTAACCACATGATCAAAATCTTCAAAATTACTCTTGACAACCGTCACAAATAAAAACCAAATACTGGAATACTAATATTTTACTAACTGTCTCATTAAGAAATGTGCCAGTCGCCGTGAAACTGAAAAATCAGACATTGTAGAATACTTTTTTGACAATCTGTTGTTATAAGTTCAATATGATCTCAGTTTGTGCCTCTGTTGGAAAAATTGTTTGAAGTCATAATGATTTTATTTGATGGTTATCTAGTAATGAATTATAAAGCAATGTCACGCTTTCATCATTAGTATTCTCCTACATCTGGTAATATTGAATGATTACTCAGGATTACAACTTTCTACATTTTACATTCCCATTAACTCTTTTTAAATTTTGTGATGTGGAACGTCAATAACAGACAAATTACTTCAGTCAATATTGAAACCTACATAACAGCTGGTGATGTATACACTCCATCTAATTACGCCAGTATGCTTTTTTTACTATGTACTAGTAGTACCTTTAATCTAGTTTACAGTCAACTGTTACATCCTTGAGTTGGAAAATCTTGCGATTTTGGTATTCACGAGTGACTAGAGCATAATGAGATTGCACGAGAATTGTTGTGACCCCAGTACCACTGTTATATTTTATTAATATATTCAACAAAATACTAAATCAATGAACTATTTTAATTTCGCAAATTAGGGAAAATTGTGGAATTTTCTAGCAGTGTAATTTCCGCTGGAATTATTAGAACATGAGGTGACAGTGGCTTTCACAAAAATGTGTCCTTATGTTATTTCTTAAACCATCAAATCATGAAAATTAAATATCAGCAAAAATACAACTGTTTACAGTATTATTCATGGCATGGCACTACTTTTACAGGTTTAGCCATTATATTTTTTAACAATAAACTAGTTTTAAAAAATGACTTCATAATATGAACACAGTGATTCCTTTTAAAATGCAGCACATAATGAGATTTTGAAGGGTAAAGTAGGGAATACTATAAATATATTAATATATTTTTGAAAAGTAAAATCCACTAAATTAAATCTACATGAACATGTAAAATATCAATAAAGTTTGTGAAATTAAAACACAGTGAATATATGCAAAACATTAAAATAGCAAAATTAAATGTCAGTGAAAATAAACGGTACCTACTTTATTTTGCAATTGAATGTTAGTTAATTATCTTTATGGGTTGGTCATTAAAGACTTTAGGAAAGGAGATGTAGAGAACAAGTTTATATTTCTTTTTCACTTAAGCTTCAAACCAGATCTTTAGTTCGGTATTGCATCATTTTTTGCTCTCCACATTGTATGTTATTGTTTCCCGTTATTTTCCCTGTAGAATTTTTTTTTTTACTCTGCATCCTTTTTCTCCCCTATCTAGCAAGCAAGGAAACATTGCTCCTTTAACAAGTCAAAATGGTAGATGTGAATTTGATGAACTTGTGAAGGCCAATCTAACAGACATGAATAATCTTTATTTTATTAGCTTGCTTTCTATTTTTATAGAAATATTTTTATGATTTATGAGCAATATTTTTATGATTTACTATACAACAAATGTGATGCACGTTTAATAGACAAATAAACAAATGTCTTTGTATTTTTTTTAGTGAATTAAAATTTAAGTAGATTTCTATTGTAGTTATCAGGCGGTTTTCCAACTCTTTTTCCCACTACTTTTTTTTATTTCTCCTGGACTCAGCGAGTGAGTAATATTTTTTGTGTGTGCACTGTTTTTTTATTTTTTTATTATCAGTTATATAAAAAGGTAAATAAATAAAATGTAATAACTTCTGAAAACTTAATATTATTATACTACAGGGTCTCACTGTATGCATGTAACCAAGGGGAAACGCATCTATATATCAATACAGACTGATACAAATGCTTGATTGTGTATTTTG